GGGTTTCTTTTCTACTTGGTGCTAAGTGCTCACAACAAATTTTTTATGCAAAAAAAGAGTGCACAAAATTGTAGCTTTCTTTTGTTCTGATGAGAACAAGACACATAGTTTTGTTCACACTGCTCTCTAACCAGGAGGGCTCCTACCCATCCACAGACCTAATTCCTGTTTGGTGGCAGTCCCTACAGCTCCTCATAACCACTCCCTAGATGAGAGCATCTCTCGACCCCTTCCCTCAGTTCAGCCCTAAGGGGTTGTATGTCCCCTTATTTGATCTTTAAATGAACCTGCGTCATGATAGAGCACTCTGGGAAACATCTGCACTATTATACAATTAATCACATCTGTTGACCATTTTATGAAAACATGAATAATGTTTAAGTATATAGAATTATACTGCTGTAGGGACGGACAAGGCAAGGCACCTAAGATAGCACTGAAGACAGGGAAACAGTCCTATTTGCTTGCAACCGGATTCAGAGGGCATTGCTTCTGTTGTCATCAATTAATCCCCTGAACCCCAAGTTTAGATAATTTCAGAATTTTGTACTCAGCATGTAAGGGAAGGGGCTCAGAAGTTCACAGTCTGCAGAAGTTCACAAAAAGAAGTTTTTGTTTCTGTTTTTTTTTTCTCTGTTCTGGGCACGTTAACTTTTCAAGGACACCTGGGAGGGGGAGAACTTTTTCTTTTTCTTTTTTTTTGGGGGGGGGGGGCTCAGTGAGCCATCGTTTAAAGCCCCTAAGGGAATAGTCCAGGAAGATTACTTCTTGCTGGCAAATTTGGGCCTTTTTAGCAGAAGCTCTACACCCGAGTTGAGCAAGCTCAGATAATAGTGCTTGGGTCCCAGACTCACAGTTTTCTTTGGTATCGGCTGCCAGTAGCAGGTCATCCACATATTGAAGCAGGGTGACTTCGGGGTGCGTAGTTCTGAAGTTGTTGAGATCTCTGTGGAGGGCTTCATCAAAGAGAGTGGGGGAGTTTTTGAACCCCTGTGCGAGTCTGGTCCAAGTTAGTTGATCAGACGTTCCGGTGTCTGGGTTTACCCATTTGAAAGCAAACAGCAACTGACCATCTTTATGCAGAGGCAAGCAAAAGAAAGCATCTTTTAAGTCCAGGACAGTATACCATTTTCGCTCAGGGTTCAGGGTGCTAAGCAGAGTGTATGGATTAGGTACTGTGGGGTGAATGTCCTGCACTCTGTTGTTGGTCTCTCTTAGGTCTTGAATGGGGCGATAGTAGCAGGGGAGTGTTCCAGGCCGATTGACAGGGCTTCTTTGCTCAGAGGATATTGTATAATATTAACTGGGGAGGCTGAGGTTTTTAACTCCACTGTTATTGGAGGTTGTTTTATGGCTAGGCCTAATTCAGCAGTTTCTGCCCAGGCATCTGGGTAATCTGTTATCCATTTCTGGGATAGCTTGCCTGTTTGATCAGTCTTGGGGGTGTGTGAAGAGTTGATGTTCATCTTCTGCTGACATAGTTAAAGCCATGACTATAGGAGTTTTTACTGAAGGAT